TCTGCCCGTTTTATTTGAAATGGGCCGCCACCAATTAAATTAATAGGACCGTAAAAAATAAAATCTTTATGAACGGTATCAATGTCTTCTTTTCGGGGCCAAATAAATGTGTCAAGCTCTGCTTTCAGAAACTTTATTTTATAATGTGCGTTTCCTCTATCTTCAATTATCCGACCTATAAACCACGATTGGTCATAGAAAATCGCGTAATAGTTTTCTAAGAGTATCTCAAGTCCGGCAGTTTCCGATAAATTTTCTGATCTACACGGTAACATCTCATCTGATAACTCCTCCATATCATCGAAGTCGTCGAGTTCCATCACGTCTGAGTCAATGGATGAGTCANAAATACACTAAAATCATTTATTAGAGGAATATATAAGAAATCGTGTATTTGTTGTTCTTAAAAATATCAAAATATCAAAAAAGATTTAAAATAAAATAAAATTAACACACTTAAAAAAAGGGTGATCCATACTTCCGCCCACTTCAAACTGGAACGGTTTTACCTGGGTTAAGGAAGAGGGTAACTTCCTTTAGTGTCAGAAATCGAATTGAATAGAAACAAAAGATGTCTCCGTCTTCTTCCAGTACCAGCGTCATATCGGAGCTAACAGCGAACGATTCGCATTAAATCTGAACAGAGCTGTGCATTACTCGACGAATTCACTTCGGCACGTTGCACACGAGTTTTTGCAATAGTTTTCGTGCCATATAACCAGCAATATACGCAATTTCACCTTCAACTTCTTTTGGGTCCTCTTCACCCTCTTCTTGCTCTTCATGGAATTGCGTGTTGTTTGTTTTTGTAATAATCGTAAAAAATTTTTTTAATTTTTCAAAGGCTGGCCGGCTGTCGTCTTTTTCAAAATTTGCCCCTGGTGAATGGGAGGAGGCGAAATTATTGACCAACAAGGTTTTATAGCTGTTCTTAAACACAGTGCATGTCGGATTAATGTTACGTACACCGCGCATGCGAATACAGCCAAAACAATTTTCCAAGGGATCCTGGTTCAAATTTCTTGGCAAGAGAAATTTAAAACTATGACCTTGTAGTTTCTTCCATAACGCCTTTAATCCCTGAAGTGTTTTAATTCAATTTCGTATTATCGGAGGCACACACTCTTTTTGTTCAATCTCGTTCTTGTTTAGAAATTTAATAGTCCTTAAAACATCGATTGCCTTATTCCAAAAAGTTAAGTGAGACAGTAGTAAGCTACTTAATAGTTATTTTAGTTACTCACTTCATTAATCGATCTTAACATTAACAACACTTTCCTTTTCAATCTCCTTGCCACAATTCGTTATAAATGAACTACAAACGTGCTATAAACAGTTTTTAGGTTATTTCTTAGACAACAACAAATTTAAACGTTAATTCGATGGGTAAAGAAACTGCTCTTGTGTTATGTGCTTGTTTAGTTTGTTATACCCAGTTAATAACCACTTTACTTTATTAACAACCTTCGTACATTTAGAACAAAGAAAAAACCCTCTGTCGTCGGCTATCCCAACTAATCTAACGAACACACCCTTTTTAGTATCTATACAATATAATAGATGGCTCTAATATCGCATACCCATTTTTTTTTTTCATGAGTAATAAAATTAATCTATTCTAATACATAATCATCCAAATAACCCGGTTTCTTAACTATTCTTTTCGGACGATTACCACACGAATTTTTCGGACAATCTACGGAGGGATACGGGCTAGGTCGAGATAGAGTTGTAATAGGTTTGAAAGGAGAAACTGATAAATCCTTATTTGAGGTTATCATGTCCTCATTCATTCTCGTAGCCTCCTCTCTTTGAGCAACAACACTTTCGGAAGGGTGCTGAACTTCCTTGTGTATATTACAACTAGATGTTGCATTGACTGTATGTTTCTCATAATAACGAGCTGCAATTAAGTGCCACCTATTCCGGCGAAACACTCGGCGATTTGTATGGATCATATATGACCGTGGCTCCGCGCACTTTTCAACTACATATCCATAAACCCTTAAATCAATTACCCACACCCATTCTCGAATTTGCAACTCACCCAAGTCCTTTGTTTTATGCCTGTCATTGTAATTCTTCTCTTTTCTATTATGACAACTCTCTTCCTTTCTCAAAAATTTGCTACATTAACGGTTTCGTTTAATTTCTTTTCAATCATAGGTAAGTTAGTTCTTAATCNCTTTTGGAACCTTTAAGATCAATTCCCTGAGATGACTAGAGGTGGCAGTGTATTTCCCAATTGGCAAATTTATTCCTGATTTTAGGAAACGAGTACGCATTTTTGTTAAAATATGGGTGGTGTCCTGTACATAACATTCATCATTTTTTTCGAAGTTGCAGTGGTACCACTCCCAATCTGGAACTGGCAAAGAACGGAGTAGCTCAGAATCTTTTGGGGTTGTTTTGTTATTTTTTTTATATTCAGGTGCTAAACGAGACTTCAAAGTATTTAAACGCATAGTCTGAGGAAAATCCCATAATTCTGATGCCAAATTTTTTAGCTTCCTCCTTCATCCATTCCCATCTCAAAATGACCTGCTTAGCAGTAAATGAATTATCAGTTCCGAATAAGGACAGACAGTATGTCGATGCTCCAACATGTAAGGGTTGAGCCATTATTACATAGGCATATGCTGCTTTTACTCCAGTTTGAAAATAAGTCTTGATTGCTTCAGCAGAAGTAGCAGGAAACGTACTTTGTTGAGGCAGGCCATTCCTTAATGGCAAAACAAATCCTATCACATTATTCGATTTGCTATCATATTCAATTTTGCCTGTCACACGAGTGCCATCCTCGGATACCCAAATCATTTTTGGTAAACCTCTATCAGTTAAGTATTTCACTAGGCCTTTAAAATCAAATCCACCTTCTTGTAGAGCCTCATTTTTAGCGTCCAAAAATCTATTCAGCGTAGAAATTGAAGGTAAACAATTTTTTAAATTTGCTTGTAGTGTTTCATAAAGTAACCTGCCTCCAATATAAAACAGGTATACTGCGAATTTTTTTGTAGCATCATCGTATCTGTTTCGATTGTTTGAGCAAGTAGAATTATTAAGTGATAAATCTTGCAATGTTTTGAGTAATCGAGGTATATTAGGCACGGATGTATCAGTTAACAAAATAACTTTCACAAATAATTTGTTTGTTGATCTTGCATCTTAAGAAACATGACACACCCCCCACCCTTTTAGGTGCTGCTGACAAAATGTAAAACTAATCCTTTACCACCCTTCCTGTTACCCCTTGTCGAGCCCCTTGTCAAATATTTGTTATACCCTGTACAGTTAAAATACATTTTTAACAAAAATAAAATCATGTAGCAGCAAAAAAAAATAGTTATTTATTATACAAGGGAAAAAGTATCAGAATTTGTTTCTAATTCCCCACTAATTCCCTACTAATTCCATTATTCTCTTATTAATTCCCCGAATTTCCAGAGTAATTCCCCACTAATTCCTCTAATTCCCCACTAATTCCTTACTAATTCCTGAAGATTGTACACCAAAATTCCCCTGCGAAATACCCCTCGATGGCACCTTATGTTTTTGATTGCAAAATCTGAATCTGTGGATAAAAGTAAAATATAACTACGAAGGCTTTCACGGCCGGTGTGAATTAAACTAAAACTAACACTAGAAACTTTCGGGTTTTGCCGTGCGTCTTTTAAGAAAAGGTTTGACGTTTCGGATGCCATGTTGCAACCTTCTTCAGAATCTGGTTCGAAGTGACGTATTCGAAAATCGGTAACTGTATATAAGTCGGAAAAACTAATTAATAATCAGTTAACGCTAATTACAAGCTAATTATTAACTAATTGCATCGCGTCCGGTGTGAGGCAGGAAGAGGTCCTCGTGTTCACCATCTTCCATGTTCTGCTAAGCTCCCAGCCATCCTCTCTGTTGACGTTATTTTTATGTCGGTGGATCTCTCTGGTTTCTCTTGTCAGTCTTTGGCAGTATTTGTTGTCCTTAGCCAGCACCTTTGTTTGTTCGAAGTCTATTCGGTGCCCCTCTGCATGGCAATGTTCCGCAACCGCCGACTGCTGGATCTTCTTCAACCTTACATCCCTCTCACGCTCCTTGATGCGGCACTCGACGTTGCGTCCAGTTTGGCCAACATCAACCTTCCCACAACTACACGATTGTCGGTAGACTCCCGCTCCTTTTAATGGAGTTAGTTTGTCCTTGGCTATCGGGAGTGTGTTCCGAATTTTGCTGACCGTGCCGTACCGCACTACGATGTCGTTCTTCTTGAGGTGCCTAGCAATTCGTTCCGTTACACCTGAAACATAGGGAAGACAGATAAATCCAAGTGGTTTTGTACTTACCGTGTCCTCTTTCTGCGTTCGCTGCTTGATGGCCTGGTTGATATCCCTCGAAGTGTATCCATTCTTCTGCAGCACGCCTCGTAGAAAGTCCTCTCCTTCTTCAAGTTCTCTTCTTCACATAGTCTCTCGCTATTGGTATAATTAAAAAAAAAATTACCGTGTGATTTTGTCAGTACGACGGCGAAACATCTTTTGAAGACAAAATCTAAATAATTTTTTTATTCAAATCGTTTTAAATATCGTTTATTTATAAAAAAAAATGATTAATCTATACTATTAATCAACAAGTATAAAATTTATAGCAAATGTTCAAATATTTCTCCACCCATTTCAATACATTTGTTAACTCTTCTGCTAAAACTTTCTTTACATCTTAAAAGGTTTTCTTGGCTACTATTTCTGCATGTATTTCTTATCCGCTCTTTCATGTATTCTGGTGTAGTTGGTACTTCGCGATAAACATTATCCTCAAGGACGCCCCACAAAAAAAAATCAAGAGGTGTTAAATCAGGTGATCTGGCAGGCCAGGAAATTGGACCTCCCCTTCCAATCCATCGCCCAGCATAATCCCGANCCATTCTCGAATTTGCAACTCACCCAAGTCCTTTGTTTTATGCCTGTCATTGTAATTCTTCTCTTTTCTATTATGACAACTCTCTTCCTTTCTCAAAAATTTGCTACATTAACGGTTTCGTTTAATTTCTTTTCAATCATAGGTAAGTTAGTTCTTAATCCTCGCGACATTAATAACTCTGACGGGGTGAATCCGCTTTCCAATGGAGTACTTTTATACGCCAGCAACGCCATATAAATATCTTGGTTCTTGGTTAATAACTGTTTTGCTATTGCAGCAGCTCTTTCGGCACAACCATTTGATTGTGGAAAATATGGATTGCTAGTAATATGTTTGAATTTATAAGTCATTGCAAAATTCTTAAAAGTAGTTTGAAATTGAGGACCATTGTCGGTACGTACAACTTCTGGTATCCCGTAACGTGAAAAGGTTTGTTTAAATTTACCTATAATAGTATCTTCTCTCATGTGGGTTAACTCAAAGATCTCAAAAAAACGCGAATAATAATCGATGATTATGAGATACCACTTTTTTAATTTAAACAAATCTGCAGCTACCCTTTGCCAAGGCTTATCGGGTATTGGTTCTTTTAAAGACGTTTCTTCAGGATTTCGTCGTTCTTCAACACATCTCGGACAATTTCTAACCACATTTTCAATTTGTATGGATATACCGAACCACCAAACAGACATCTTTGCGCTCTCCCTGCATTTCGTAGTACCAAAATGACCGGTGTGAATGTAATCTAAACATTCCTTCTGAAGAACCTTGGGTATTATGATTCTTGTTCCTTTTGTTAATAGTTTATCGTGGCATGGAATGTCGTATCTGTATTGATAATATGGCAACATTTCCAATGACAACGAACTCTTGTCTGGCCAAGCAGACTAACAATATTGTACCAATCCACTACAATCGTCATCTTTCAGCTGTTCTATTGCTATTTTTCCGAAATAATCATCCTTTATCGGTAAGTTTGTCAAAATTAGAGCTACGTACGCTTCAACTTCGTCTGTCAATTCGTTCTTTTAAAGAAATTCAGCAATTGCCTGAACCCTCTCTTTATCAATCTGGATACCATGGTCAGACACCACATGTCCCAGAAATCTAACTGAGGTAACACCAAACAGACAATTATCTCTATTATTAGTTTATTAGACTAACTTTTCAGTGCTACAGCTGTTTCGGCAAAAATTTGCCTTCCTCAGGCACGACTAAAAGTAAAGTGTAGATCCATGTTGCAAGTGAATTATTTAAAAAATAAAACGAAAAAACTTCTTAACTTGCTATATTTAATAAATTTGAAGTCAAACTAGTTTCGGGGCTAGCCCCATCCTCAGTGACAATGTCAATAAGTCTTCTATGACAATGTCAATAGAAGACTAATATTGTAAACTGAAGATCATCAAAAAGGCAATTGAATGCATGTATAAAGCTGAAGGCGATATAATGCGGTGTTAAACGTGTACAGCAAAATGATTAAAATGGCGACAGCAAAAATGCACGTTATTTTAAACGCTTGTTGAAAAATAATCAAAAACCATGTTGAACCTTTAAAGAGACGTGAAGAAACGAGACTGTTTAAACAAACGGACTGCGAAATTTATTAAATATAGCAAGTTAAGAAGTTTTTTCATTTTATTTTTTAAAAGTAAAGAGTTCTTTTAAAAAATATAAAGATATAATCAAAAAACTCCTTACCGTCAACGAGGTTAAGTACTAAAGATATAAATTACTGGAGGCATGTTACACCAAACGCTTTCGGGAGAAGAGGTTATAAATTTTGTTTAAATTAAAATTAAAAATTAAAAATCAAAAAAGTTAAAGGCTGAAGTAAAACTTTTTTGAGGCTTGAAGAGCACGCTGTCAGAAAGAAGTGAGGTTAAATGAACTGTAAGTGGAAAAATAAAGTTATTAGAGGTATTAAAAGAACAATAAGCATGAGGTACCTATTCAACACGTTAAAAAACTAAACAAAATAATGTCCTATGAAACTCAACAATTAATTTAAACAAAAAGAACGAAAATTAACAAAAAGTTGCGTTTATGCGTGAAGCGCACTAACAAATGGCGTAGCGACAGGTTTTAAGGACGGGTTAAGTAGGGGTTATTATTGCATATACGCAGAAAAAATGTCCCATTTTTACATTAGAAACAAACGCGGGAATCAAATTAAAGATTTTTAAGTTTTGAGCCATCCTGTGTTGAAGAGAAGGCTCTACTTCCACACCTTAACATCAAAAAAGAGGAAGAAGGATAAAATAAACAGACTAGTTTGTAATAAGGTTAACAATGAGATTCAAAGTAGGAACAGGCGACCTAAGGTAAAGATAATTAATAATAATAAGTACAATAATATAAAAAACCCCAAACGTAAAAAGTTCACCTCCATCGGCTGTTCTGATGACACTTACCATAGTGTTTTTGTTGCTAAAAGAATAGATCATAATAACGGTATAATACAATATATCGGTATCTTTAAAACGAGGGGTAAACCGTTGAACAAAATTAGTACACTAATTCCCAGATTTGTTATTAATTCCTCTAATTCTTCACTAATTCCCTTAATTCCTTACTATTTCCCCTAATTTTATTATTAATTTCCACGCTAATTCCCTACTAATTCCTCTAATTTTACCAATTCCCACTCTAATTACCTAGTAATTCACCAAATCTATCAAGTGAACTACGCCACAAAATGGTGTAAAATAAATCAAGCATATGTGTTTGTAGTATACGTATTAAAATAAAAAAAGTTGGTAAAAAAGCTAGAAAAAANGGTACTTCTCCCCATTCAGCATACCATCAATAAAGTATGGACCGATCAATTTATCACCAATTATGCCACACCAAACATTAACCGATCAAGGTCGTTGATGTTCTACTTCACGCAACCATCTCGGATTTTCAACGATCCTATAGTGCATGTTATTTCTATTGACTTGTAATTTATTTGTAAAAGTAGACTGTTCCCAGAATAGCACGTTACCAAAGAAATTGACGTCCAACCGCATTCGTTCTTGTGCCCATTGACAAAATATTAATCAATTTTCTAAATCACCTCTATAAAGGTGTTGATGCAATGAAATGTGGTATGGGTGATACTTGTTGCGCTTTAATATTCTTAAAATGCTGGTCTTCGATATTCCGTAGTTACAGTTGCTCGCCGAGTTCTTTTTCTTGATTCCACATTTCCAGTGTTAGTGAAATCATTCACAACTCTGTAAAAGGTACTTCTCGNACATTAGGGAACTGTTATCAAGTATTGATTTCTTTTATAATAGTTACCTGTTGAAAAATAAAGGAGTTATGCAAAATTCATTCTTATATCCAGTACAAAGATGGACTTATGCAAATTTCACATAATAAAACAACGCTAGTATTTACCTACCTAAGGCATTGTTAAGTCAGGAATATAGGCAACCCCCTTTGCACCCCCGATAACTTGTCGCTTTAAATATCACGATCGATATTGATCGATCTCTCTTCTCGGCCGTCCGTCGTACGATATCTATCGATTCTTGACGTTCCGTTGTGCGATTAACTAACACTCCCCACAAAAAAAAATATATATATATATATACAAAAATAATAATAATAGATGTACACGTATCAAATTTTACAATATTCCGAGAGAAACAATATTAGGGAAGTATAAATTTTACAAGTTAAACTTAACATCTTGAGCTTTCAATTTTAGGTTGGCACCAATGGTAACGGACAAAGTTTCACCATTGGTNAACACATTGGCTTAATGTAAAACGATGGAATGAATTCAGAATTTGTTGCCAAGCAGTTTTTATGCAAATTTAGTTTTACCTGTTATATTTTAAAACAATTCAACCAATTAAGTCTCTGAAAGCGATATTCTGAAAATGCCGATATAAGTAGTTCCACGAACTCTTGTTTTTTATGCGTTATTCTATTATCAAATTGACAAAAGCGAAGAAATGTCGGAACCTTTTAGACCTCTTTCCAAACGAGCCAGGTCACCCGATGTACAGGTCACCTCTTCTGGTTTTTTTTTTTGTTGAGCATTCTTAAATAGTATTCTAAGAATTAAGAACTAAAGACAATGCGGGTAGGAAAATGTTTAAAAATTTATAAATCTTATTTGTTCTTGCTAGATTATAAACGTTAGTTAATTGTTTCTGAAGAAGTTTCAATTTTTTGCCGTTGCAAAACCACAGTAAAATTTTTTTATTTTTTTTGAATTTCTTTTTAAAATTATATATTGGTTCACTACAGTGGGATAAATTTCTAGGAATTAAGAATTTGCATGATATATCTAGCGTAGTATGAGCACGGTCCTCCGACACCAAAGCATGATCCCAAATCCACCTCGCAATGAAATACATTACAGGAAAAAACAAGATCAAGAATGCTACCAAAGTCATTACAATGATGATTTAATTGGGATAAACCAGCCAAGGAGACGGAGTCCAAGAACTCTGTAGCTCTAGCAGAAGTTGCCCTGGACGGGACACAGTAACGGCGAACGGGGTCAAAAGAGCACCTGATTTTCGGGATATCGGTGTCGCTCAATTACATCAACTAAGGACCGGGAAAATCGCGAGAGTGCAACATTGTCACACGGCGGAATATAAACACAGCATATGTTAGGCACTGAAGAGCCATTAGATAACGCAACATACACTGCTTCAACGTCCGCGAACAAACCCGGTCGTTCCGCACTGGAGATCATTTTCGACACAGCCAACAACACCACCTCGACGCCGAGCACCCGAATCATTCATGTGTCGGTCACGTTTGTAAGTCAAATATGAATCGGGAAAATACTCTGCAGATTCAATTCCGGGACAAAGCCAAGTCTCCGTGAGACAGACAACATCCAAATCCGCACTTAGTAGGTTTGTATAGAAAATAGTACCTNTCGACTAATGATGGTGTAAATTAGACCTGCAAAATCCACTGCTACTTGGGAAAACGCTCGAAGTTGAGAAACCCTCATCGACGGTAGATCAGCCATCATGGGAGCATACGATTGGGGCTTGCAGCGGAAACATCTCACACATCGTGACAGAACGCGAAATATAACACTCCTAGAGTTGATGATCCAAAATTGTTGTGATACCAACGTTTGTAATGTTCTCTGGCCGGGATGTAAGTAACGTTTGTGTATGTCCTCCACCACGATTTCACTTAAACGACTATTTTTTGGTAATAACACCGGATGACGATGATCGAATGGTATTATCGTGTTTTTCAACCGACCGCCTACCCTTATCAATCCTTCACTGTCTAGGAAAGGAGCTAGAAAGCTAGCTCCAAAAGGGTTTTCAGGAAGTTTATTTGTTTGGATTTGACGGATCAGTTGAGCAAAGTTTTGTTTTTGAACATGATAAACAATTGAGTTCAATGCTTGCTGAAGATCAAATGGTGATAATGACGTAGTTGAACGTTTTTTCTTTCGACAGTGTGCTATGAAACGTTGAACATAAGCAACTATTCTTTGGATTTTCAGTATTGAGGAAAAATGATTCAGAAGAGTATCAATAAAATTCACTTCGAGTTCTGTATGATTAATGATGTAAATCTTTGATTCATTAATGGTTTCTTGTGTTTCAGAATTTTGATTAAAAGGAGCAGGCCATTTATCTGGAGAGTTGATGAGCCAAGGAGGACCCATCCACCAGATAGAACACTGAATAAGTTGATGTGGGAAAAGCCCACGGGAACCGGCATCTGCAAGGTTGCTTGATGAAGGAACATATCTCCAACAATTAGACGGTAATATATTCTGTATGTAAGTTACCCGATTGGCAACAAATGTCTTCCACCGAGAAGGTGGAGCGTAAATCCAAGATAAGGTGACTTGGGAGTCGGACCA